CTCGTCCAAGCAGTCACTGCAGGGTCAGCAATGACTGAGCGCAGACAAAAAAAAAAAACACATCCTGATGTTCATCTCCTGCCTTTTCTATCTGAGCTTCTGATTTTTCCTTTCCTAGCTGTCCTCTGATTTTGCTCTCTAATGTGCTCTCTAGTTATACCAATTATCTATCACACTTCACTTTCCTTTCACCTCGTACTCTCATCTGTTCCAATCACCTGCTCCACTCAATCCTCCATTAATGTGTAGCTCACCTCAACCAACAAGGATAAGCCTGCATAGTTACTGCCTCACTTAAAGCCAAAACTGAATAACTGCTTGCTAATGGGAGTCTAAGCATCTGTAAGAATGCCCTTTTGCATATTCACAGAGACCACACTTGAAAATGTGGAAGGAGAAATGTGGTGAAATACTCACCCAATAAGAGCCAACAACTGGAAATAAACCCAAATGTTCATTTTTTAAAAGCTGCCAGGTTACAATGAGTCACTGGTCTCTTGCATCCAGACAAGCCAAGACCAAGCACCCCAGAGTTATACAGGTTGTAGATATGATGTTGATCAAAGACAATTTGAACATGAATAGACATTAATAGGAGACTCTGATAGAGAGAATTGCTTTACAACTGATAAGGAAACAAGAAAATTCAGGCATCCTTCATGGTTTATAAAATATTATAAACATAGTCTCTGAAATGCAAGGTAACAGCTTTGATATACTAGAAGTGTCAAGGCTTTAATTGTTATTCTGACAAGCTGACCCTGTACTTCACTGTGGAAGGATGGTGAAAGTTAAAGATGCAGCATTACACATCCTTAAATCTAAGGTTTCTACTTAGAGTAGAAATTCTATAGGTATTTATAGCAACAAACCTGCTTTGAGAAATCTGGATAATCATGTTTTTTCAAAGTTCATTTCCATAGATTACCATAAGGAAAATAACTGCCTGCATAGTCTGATCTTTGTAGGGGCACCTTTAGTATGGAATTCTTGTCACAATGCCAGTAGTTTTCCCTATGACACTGTATGGAAATGAAGTTTGGAATTTGAAAAAACAAAATAGAATGACTATTGACACTTTTGAAAGTTGGTGTTGGAGAAGACTTCTAAGAATACCATGAACATGCAGGAAAACAAATAGATCATAGAACAAATCAATCCAGATTTCTCACTAGAGGCACAAATTACCAGACTCAAATTACCGTATTCTGGACACATTATCTGAAGACACCACTCCCTTGAGAAGCACATAATGCTGGGAAAGGTGGAAGGAAAGAGAAGAAGATGACCAGCAGCAAGGTGGATGGACCTGGCTACAGTAACAATGGTTGCATCATTGCAAGACCTGAAGGGCTAGGTTGGGGACAGGGCATCTTGGAGAAGATCTATCTGGGTGGTCCCCTAAGAGTCAACAGTCACTTTATGGCAAATAATAATCATAATAACAACAACAACGAACATATATGCAATATTTTATTTGTATATAAATAAATGATTATAAGATATAATTAATTCAAGCTAAATTCCCCATTCTCCACAAGAAACAAGGCATTGCTTAAGCTGGATCAGACTAGGGTTGTGTGCCCAGGCTTAAGCAGATGAGTGGGACCTGGGAGAGGAGTCAATAGGTGTAGGGTTTAGATGGGCAAGGTGGGAGCCAGCAGTTCCCAGGGCAGAGACAGCCCTGATGTAAATATGTAACTGCTTAGCTTCAGGGCCACCAAATGAGGTGTGAAGTATCCATTAATTCAGAAGAGTAGGAGGAAGAAGCTTTAACTTTAAACCCTTCAGGGGGAAAACAGTATTTTATATCTTTGCATTAGCAGTATCTGAAATAAAGATTGCAACCTAGACAAGCTGTGTCTGAGAATTTTCATCAGTGGAACTGAGCTAAGCTGTTATCTGTCAGAATATCTATGATTTACTCCTGAGCCCTGACAGCAAACTGAGCTGAAATATTCTGCTGGCTGTATTTGACTCACAAGCTGCCTGCCCCCCACCTATGTCTTAGGACATATCGTCTCAACAGACACCAACTAATTCAGATTTTCCTCATTCCCTTCTAAAGTTGGAATGATCATTCTCTCAGATGAAAATGACACCTTACAAACTACAACCCCAGAATCCTTTGGATGAAGCCACAACAATGAAACTACTTAAGCTACTAATGAATGTAAAGTTTCCAGTTGCTTCTTCAGTTAGATTTAAGAATGTTCAGTATAATTCCCAAATGGTATCATTTCTGAGAGAAGGAATAAATGGGTATGCCAATACAGTACCCCATCAGTCCACCCCCTTATACAT